TGCCCCTATGAAAGTGTACCCACTGTAGACAAATGACAGCAAGAATTCTCTGAGTTGCTAAGGTCTCCTTCTCTATGTTTAGCCCTCATGATTATGTATATTTATACTTTCTCTTTATGACGCAAATAAACATAATGGAGTTTTAGTGATCAGTAGGTAAATTTTTACATTCATACTTCATTTAATTCTGATACTTTATGAAAATTCTTGTAAAAGTGTAAGATTTCAAACTGTCATAATATTTAGAAAACTACCTCAGCTAACTAAAAGTCATTCTGTTCACTAATAAAGTAAATCTGTTAATTTAAATGAAAAAGATGACTTTTAAAGAAAGTTAGTAATGCTTTTTTACTGTAATTTTTTATCCCAGTTGTAGCTCCCTCCCTCATCTCCTCCTGGTCCCATTCTCCTTCACTCTTCCACTCCTATCCCTCTCCCCTAGTCCACTGATAGGGAAGTCTTCCTCCTCTATTGTCTGATCCTAGCCTATTAGGTCCCCAGGTCCCATCAGGACTGCATTGATCCTCTTCCTCTGTGGGTTGGCTAGGTAACCCCACCAGAGAGAAGTGATTAAGAAGCAGGTGACCAAGTTCATGTCAGAGACTGTCTCTTCTCCTACTAGGGAACCCACATGGAGACTGAGCTGTCTATGAGCTGTCCCTCCTCAATTGCTGGTGGGAAAGTTAGTAACATTTTTTTAAGAATAAAATTTGACCCATAAAAGAAATAAGTAGCTATAGTTAGTTAATAAAATCATGTACCTTCATGGTCTATTTTTATAGAAAATTGTAGACTGCTTTCCTGAAATAAAAGAGAAATTAACCATTACAGAGAATATCTTGAGAAGCACACCAAACAAAAGAGAATTGATAAAGTTAGCCGAGCAACATAATAGCTGGAAATAACAAAACCCTGTTTCTAAATACTGAATCAAATATCTTGGGAATGTTTGTCTACAAATAGCTAAGCCATTTGGGGTTGATATTCTCTGTACTTTTGCCATGTACTCTGAATGCTCATAATTCATAACTATTGTGAGCATATAAATATGGCAAATAGTACATTTATAGGTATCAAAGTGTGAGCACTTGGGCTCAGTGATAAGAGTTCATGCATAGCCTTTCCAGTGACCTGGTTTATACGCAATCAGAAAAAAACAACCAACCAATCAGACAAACAAATAAACAGAATGTGGACCCTTTTTAAATTAACGCTAAAAATATTGTATAACTGATAAAACAACAGAAAAAAAATCACTATATTGCAAGCCCAGGAAATGTTATCTTTATTTTTTCTGATTTACATAAGGAAATGAAATAATCTTACCTGTCACCCTGATACCAAGAAAGAGCTTAAAATGTCAAGATTCCCACCCCAACCTTCATGGTTTATTAAGCAAAAAGCCAAAACTCTCCATGGTCCCTTCTGGTTCCAACAATCTATGATTCAAAGGGATGTAATGGCTCTCTTTTCTTGTTCAGTAGTGTCCTGGTGAGGGAATGATTTTACTGTCCTTTTCTGTGAGGTCCTGCCGGTTAATCTAAAAGGAAATGAATTACAACAGGAAGACAGGGCTACAAAATGAAGCCATTTAGTTTTACAAGTCTATTGTGTCCTTAGATATGTTTTATGGGCCTGGTCCTATTATACGCCAAAGGGGAAAAAAAATCCTTAAACAAACTTTACTTTCAGTCTCTTTCCAGTGAAAATATTTACAATTTTATGATTGTCTTTCAAGTCATTTTAGGCAAATTTTCCCCTCCTGTTTCTTTTCCAAGAACCTTCTCTCCCACTTCTCTAACATAAAAACATTCAGAGACAAGTAACTGGACTTTTCAAATACAAACTGCTAACAACTGTCAGCACTTTACTGGGGCATTACTGACTGTAGCTTCAATGAATTAAGCTTGATTCACTGCGGGTGAATCATTTTCAATGCAGAGCTGTTCAGCAGTAATTGGCCAAGAATCCCTGCTGAGAAAAGCACTTGTCAAATAATGCTTGTTTACAAATATATCTCCAGACAGCAAAAAGTGGCATTTACTGAATAAGTTCAGGGCCACCTCCAAAAATTCAGAATTGTTGGCACAGCCCCTTCACTTATTAAATTTCTTAGAATTGTTCACTTGTTGATGCACTTACTAATGCTTCCCTCCTGGATCAGTCTGAAATTAGAGTCTCCTGTAAAAACGCTCATAATTATTATTTTTTTTGTAAACTTTCTCCATCTTAATGCATATTAAGTGTTTCTTCCAAGTGTGATTTATACCTATAGAGTTCAAATGAATAAATATTGATTGTGTAATTTGTTTAGAATATGGTTATCCATGAAAGATGAGCTTTGGGAAATAAGTGAAATAACCAGAACAAATGATAACTCACATGTATTTCTTCTTGTCTGACATTTTATCATATAATCATATCATGTGTCTTGTATACTCTATATGTGTATAATGTATATGTACACATGTATTACTGAGGAATCACTAAGCATTTCTGTGAGTGGCAGACAGGAACTTTGTTATTTTATAAATTTTATGAATCAACTTATTAATAACTTTACCATTTCTATCAAATATTTTTGTACTTGGCCTTCCAAAGTTCTTCCATAAAATGGAAAAAAACACAAATGAACAGTATGTTTCATTTTATTCATTAAATAAATAATGAAGAGTGATGCTAGGAATCTTTTGCTGTATGTCACTGCTCCACCTTTAGAAGCAGTGGTATAGAAAATGTAAAGCTGAAAAGAATCCAGATTTTACAAAACGGGAGGATCTGGGATGGGATTAAAGATGACTCCTCTGTTGGGTAGTGAAGGAATGAATTGGACAGACAACCTCAAAGAGTACTAATATTAAATCTTTAATTATGCATCACGAAATGTTCCCCAAACAGCAGGCACACTTGAATCTGGATGTCTTCGGAGTATGAGGGGGTAAAGCACAGCTTGGTTTTATTAGACCTTCCAACCTTCATCTGCATGTAATCAAATCAGCTGTGTGAAGACTGTGCAACCTGTGGGCGGAAAAGCTGAGGCTAGCCAGGCTCTCTTCCACAAGAGAGGCAAGTTTTGCTTAGGGCACTTTGGTGTCCTGTGCTATTTCCCTATTTCCTGCCTTTTCCTTATGCTTGTTTTTCATCTCCTTAGTCTTGGCTCTCATTCACATTGGGTGTTACACTCCCTCATATTTTATTTCTTCAGTTCTCTTATAGAGACTTCCTGGAGACCATTTCCCTTCCCCATCACATATATAGAAGGGGGTTGTAGAAAGGGGTTTGAAATTACTATATAGAGGAAAGGATGGATGACATTACCCTTAAATCGTTTTGCAGTTCAATCAGGATGGCCCTTTGGTTGGAATAAAACAGTTAAAAGCCTCTCCCTCCTCCCTCCTACTTCCTCCCTCCTCCCTCCTCTCCTCCCTCTTCCTTCCTTACCCAAAACCCCCCTCCAGTGCATTAGCCCTCTTAGGGTCTGTGGACTTCTAATCTAACGGTCTTAACATAAGATGTTAATAAAAGGTCAACGTCTAAACTAAACAAACAAACAAAACATCATGTAAAAAAACTTTACAGAAAAAAAATGCAACTTGTTTGGCTTAGAATGGCTTATTAACAACAGATATCGACAGTTACACATATTCCTCTGAACAGATGTTTAATAATAAAGATAGGAAGAGAGTCAGTGCGATGGGGTGTGAGTCTCTATCTGCCCTGCTTTCGCGGGATTCCTTAGGAACTGGCAGCACTGGGGCTACCAAGTCAGCGTGTTCTCCTGCAGACTGAATCCATGCTAGTCACGAGGGCATACACCACTCTGCTGCTGCTACTTCATCTTTCTGGTCCAGCGTCTCCTGTCCCCAAGCTCAAAGGTTTATTTAAGGTTTTACACCCTGGGGGGTCTCATCCACAGCCCAAAGCTAAAAGCCAAGGCGTCTACACAAGAGGACAGGAATTTGATGTCTCCTGGTAGGGAGAATCTGCTCTGAGATTCTGAGCGCCTTTCTACATGCTCCACCCTCCCCGGAGCGAAGGCGTGAGCCTTTAAGCTGAGACCAGAGCAAGCTCTGAAGTGTAAGAGAGGAGAAAACGTGAAGGGGCTGAAAGGACCCTGGGCGAGGCCATAGAATGGAGCAAGACTGGTCTCTCAGAGACCAAGACCAGCTCAAGAGAAAGAACAGCACAGGTGGTGTTCTTGCCTTCGGATTAGCTCTCCCTGAGGAAAGCAAAACAGCCCAGAGCAAAGAATTGGGAGATTGGAGGGTTCTGTATTTCAAGAGCTGGTGCCTCTGGCTAGGGCAGATCTTCTCTCACCAGATAAGGTTTAGTGGGATCCATGAGTAACTTCCTACCATCCACACTGGCTGTTTCTTCCAACACCATCCCACCTTCCCGCCTTCCCATACCTTTGCTTTAGAGTGTTAATGAACCCCCAAATAGAAGGGCATCCATCAGTTTCTGCCCTTCACAATCCCTTCCCACAGAAATCAAAGCTCTCGTTACCCAGCTTGTGTAGCAGCTGCGGGGCAGGCACTTTCCCCCAAATAAAAGCACCAGCCACCCCGACTTAGTCTTCCAACACCAGCAACAAATAATGGTTTCTAAACCCCCCACAAATCCTACGAGCCTTGCCATCGCCTTTCTCAATAAGCCTGATGTGTCACTTCTCCAGGTTCCCAGGACTCAACCGCACCCAACCTCCCAGCCTAGGTCTCAGACCTCTTTCCATCAGGCTTCCAACTTCCCAGCCCCCAACCAGTCTCAGTCCACAGTCAGGTTCCTCGCCTGGCAAGCGCTCTGCAGCTATGTCAAACAATGCAACCAAAGATACCAGAGAGATCCGGAAACGCCAGCAAAAAGCGGACAAACGTTAATTGGACATGAAGAGCGAGGTTTAGTCTAGGCAGCGGCGCCTGGAGCGCTGCGACCCGGTGACTCAAGCTCCACCTCACCCATCCACCCCGGGGGGCATTCGGTCTCCACCTCCATTAGCCTACCTTCGTTGCTGGGGCTGGCCAGAAGGGTCCGGAGCGCCGCACACAAGAGAAGGCATGTCCAGAGGGGGGCCTTGAGAGGTGCGGAATAGCAGCCTGCCAGGGAGACGGGGACGCGGGAGGTGTCGCCGCCGCCACCTCTGCCCTGGGTCCGTCGGCGTCCCGCACCGCGGGGCCCGGAGCCCCGCATTTTCTACTACCCTCTTCTGCCTCCTGTGTCCCGCGTGGTTCAGGCTAGGGTTCAGGCTTGGTGGGAGAAGCGAGAGAGACGCGGGACTCCTCCTCTTGGTGGGGTCCTCCGCCTGCTGGCACTAGACCCCTTCAAATGCGGGGATCATAGATCCGCAGAGACCGCCGAAGTTTGCTGCTGGCTCTCGTCGCCCTCCCGTTCAGTTGGATGAGATGAATTAGGAGTTCGGATGGCTAGTGCAGACAGTCCTGGGTCGAGTCCCGCTCCTTTGCCTCTTAAGACTTTTGTTTTATTTTATTTTTTTCTTGTTCTTTATTTTTCAGAATTCTGATGTGTTTTTTTTAAAGTGCCAGCAGGGTTGGAGTAGTGGTGAAGGTTCCCTGTCAGTCTTCGGTGCTGACACGGACGAGATTAAAGAAGACGAGTCATATAATGTCAAGAAGATGCTTTCCCTCAAAAAAAAAAAAAATAATAATAAGAGGAATGGAAAAAAAATGCAAGCAGGGTGACTATGGATAAAGGAGAGAGGAGTAGAGCAAACGTGGTATTGCAAACACCCGAGGAGAGGAGAGCAGAGGCAGCGAGCGGTCGTATCTAGAGGACTGGAGAGGCCGGCAGAGGGAAGTCAAACCGCTGCGGGCTGAGCGCTGCCGGGGGGCGGTGCGGCGGGCGGAGCGGGCTGGCGCGCGGGCCCGGGAGCGGGGCAGAGCCCGGCGGCTGGAGCCGCTGCGGTTCCCGCTGCTGAGCGCGGAGGCGGAGTGCGCGGCGGCCGGTTCGAGCTGGCGACTGCACCCGCGCGGCGCGCTCCTGCTGCGTCTGGAGCTCCGGCGTCTCCCCGAGCCGCCCGGCTCCGCGCCTCCCACCTCCTCCCTCCGCCCAGCGCTCCCCCACCCCTCCACCCCCGCCCTCTGCTTGCTCGCGGCCTCGCCGGTGACGAGCTACTGTAAGTGTGACTCGCTTAAACGAAGTCGCACACCCACGGAGGGAAGTAATCTGCAGGCTGCCGTGGTGAGTGTTGCCTAGCGGTCTCCGAGGAAGGCGCGTCTTCCTCCCGGGGTAATTAGGGCAAAGAATCCTCCCGACGATGCCGGCGAGGACCAGAGGTCCCCTAAGGAGGAAGGGAAGGCAGCAGGAGGAGCAGCGGGTCCCTGAGTCTGGCACAGCGCCTGCTGCCCTTTGCAGGCTGTGGCACCAACAACCTTGTTTTCACAGCGCGTTCACGGGAAGTGTTGCTCCTTGGCTAGTTTCTTAAAACACCCATATCCCTCACTGCCTTTGACCCTTTCTGTTCTTCTGGAATGAGATAATTACTCAACATGGTCTTGAGAAGCACAGTGTATAGAAGACTATCAAAACTCAGGGACAGTAGCTCCGTCTGAAATCTCGGAGAATCAAAGAATTTGACTGTTGGCATTCGCACTAAGCTAGATACTTTAATGTATGAGGAGTTAATTCATTTCAGTGATAGAACGCTTTTGTGATAGAATACTTTAGTATTGAAATTACGTAATGGAAAAACATGCAGTTAATTCCGGTGAAATTAACACGGGTATAATAATGTCAGAGCTTTAACATTTTTAATTATTTTAATTGCCCGTGGTCCATTACACCGAAAGACTAACAAATAACCAGGAAAAAGGCATCTTAAAAGCACTCTTTTTTTTTTCTCTGCTTCCCCTGTATTGTGTCCTCCTGCTTGAATTTCCTCCCTCAATTCACTCATTCATTGTTTTAAAGAGATACAGGAGAATGGCAATTTTAGGATGCTCGCTTTCAATATCAGAATGCAAAGTGCCTCCCAAAATGAGTGATTTTAGAAGAAAGGTATCCCGTTCAAATTGGCCTTTGATAACTACTTTCAAGATTGGGCTCCTGTTCACACCTACTAACGCTGATTGTACTCTAGTCTCACACACTTAGACTGTTGTTGTATCACCATAAATTTGTCACAACTGTTAGCTGATGGCCTGTGGGTTTTGCATAGGTGTTTTTAATAAAAGTGCAAAAACAGAGCAACAATGCCACACTATTTTAAAGAGGTGGACTCTCTCTTTTTTTATGTGTGTGTGTGTGTGTGTGTGTGTGTTTGTGTGTGTGTGTGTGTGGCTGTTTTGGCAATAGGAATCTGAAAGCAGATTCATTCTATTATAACGTGCTCCAAATGCATGAAGCAAATAGAGAGGAATGGCAATGAATCTGTCTTCCAGTTTGGCAAAAGACCTCACTGTGAGATGGAAAGTTAAAATTTATGTGTCTATTTGAAGACCGTTCAAAATGTGAGTCTTTCCTCCACCTTGGTTTATAGCTGAGTTACTTAAGAATTTCAATACGGAATAGCAAGAAAGAAATCTAAAGCCTTGCAGTCCACAACAACGCTAGTATAAGACACTGGCCGTTTTAGGGGCATCTGAGTATGTGCTTTACTTCTTCAGGCCTCAGTGTTCTCATTAGGGAGATCAGGGATTGATAGAAAAGGTCTTCAAGCTTCCATCTCCTTCTATTCTTTACAGTGTGTGTGTGTGTGTGTGTGTGTGTGTGTGTGTGTGTGTTACCAGTCTAGAATAGTAAATATATACAAATATATATAGTGTAATTATTTAAAATTGACTATAGAGAAATGAGATTTATCCTAGAGTGTATATTTATGTATTACAAAGAGGCCTATAAAAACTTTCTGAATTACAATTGCTGAAATTTTAAATTTGATCTTACATTTCCTGAAATGGCTCTTCTTTTTTTTTTTTTTTGTTTTGTTTTGTTTTGTTTTTTATGCCCGTTGCTCCTTTCTGTAGTGGTCTTCTCTGCTCAGACTTTAAATGCCCTCACTGTAAATGCCCTCAATAGCTAGCCTTGAAGGAAAGCCAGATATTCGGGCATGTGGTTTTCCTGACAACATATTTAGTTGGTTTGTTTCTTGGAAGGATTCACTGCTTATGATTTCTATCAATCAACACCATAGCAACATCAATATTTTCCAAATGTAAAGCTAAAGATAATTGTCTAGCTATGCACACACATACACATATATAATATATTACATATTAAGATATAATAAAGAAAAATAGTCTAAGCCAAGTATTCCAAGATTTTTTTTTTGGATATTGGTCATATGGCTATAAAAGTATAATCTTCTACTCAGGATCAGTGATTTAAGTGATTCGTAATGCCTAATGTAAATCTCTATTGCTCATGTATTTGTTGTAATTATTATTTTTCCAAAGATTGTTAATCAGAGAATACTATGTTGGCTGTTTGGCATTGGACTAGTTTCAAAGACCTTGAACTTGGCCATATGTTATTTTTTTGGCATATAATTAATCTTCACACACTTGTATAGAACCAAAGCATTGATTAAAACTAGACTACTGTTTTTCTTTTAGGCCTACAATGTCGCACACTAAAATTTTTGGATATCTCATTGGATTGGATACTCAATCATCTGTATTTGTTATAGAAATTATGTTTCAAAATTAGAAAGTTCCTGATTTTTTCTTAGATCTTTGCTTGTAAGGATTTACTACTAATAAAAGTATACTAAGATCTAAAGTTGGATTATTATATTTGTTTGATTGTTTGATTGCTTTTAGAAGAAAAACATGTAGAGTAGCCTTGACAGGACACCTTGAGAGTGGAATGCCCTTGTATTTTCAATGCTGTAGATATATTGAATGAGTTAATAAGTGAGCTACATTCAAAATAAAATAAAAGCAGTCTTGGAAAAAAAAAACAACATTGTATTATTTACTGAAAATTTACTCTGTCTGAAGTATTACTTGATGATTTTACATTAATCACTTCAGCCATAATATGTGTGTGTGTAATTATTAGTCCTATGCTAATGAGAAAATTAGGGAACGAGGTTAAGTGACCTGAGTAGTCACACAGCTGGTAGAACATTGGAATTTTAACACAGGTACTGGCTTTATTAAAAACAGATGCCAGTGCAACAGAAGTAAGGAATAAATTTGTTTCTACTTAGTGCTCAAATAAACAAAGATGGTGATCTCAAAATTCTACATTAATAGGAGCATCTGATAAAATAACATGCTCTTAAGATTGATTTAAAACAAATCAAATAATACAATAAAAATATACTGAATTGACTGGTAAATAAAGAAACTAAAGTCACAACTAAGTCACAACTAAGCACCACTTGGAGACAAAGACCAACAGTCACAAACGTGTGTAGTATTTCAGTGTGTGTTTGTGTGCATGTGTGTGTTTATAGGTGCAGTGGAGATAATGTGCCAGCAGGATTAAGATCTGTGGACAGCTAGCATTAGCAAAGATAAATGACATGTCAATATAGGCCATTGTAGAAAAAAAGTCTCTACAAACATTTAATTTAAATGATTTTGTCATTTTTGCATAATTCTTTTCAAGGGGAATTTGGTGAAAAGTAAGAGTGATGCAAATATATTCTAGGATGGTCTAAAGAAACTATAAAATGCCACAATGAAGTTACTTCCTACGATTCCTGATTTGCTGCATGGTGACGTTAATTATTTTGATCTGAAAGGTAAATATTCACAGTTTATTTAAGCAATCGAGTCTTTAAAGTTCAGTGACACAGCAGTGGTATATCCTGAATTTTTGTTTAATTAATGTAAAATAATTTATTCAATGTTATTTTTCATTAAAACATTTTCCTAAACAACTAGATTCAAGTCTCTGTACTAATAATCCACACTTCTAAAATTAAATGGGAGTTATATTTTATTTACAGGTTTTGGTTTAAAGCGATTAAATTAAAAGCCAGTGAATAATTGCATTTTAGGAAATTAGTAAACCAGGCTCAGGAAATGGCTTAGTTGTTAAAAGCACTTGCTGTTCTTCCAGAGGACAAGAGTTTGGTTCCCAGCACCCACATCAGGAAGATGTTGTCCACTTCTGGTTCTGTGAGCACCAACATAACATATGTACACACAGACACCACACACAAACACTAAAAATAAAAACAAAATAAGAAAGGTTCAGAAATATAATTTCATTCTTTAAAAAAAAATTCAAAATATTACATTAGAGACTTAATTCACTAAAGACGTATATCACAATCAACAGAATACTCTCCCTTTCCTTTGGGCTTTGAGAACAGAACGAATTCTTCACAGTGTTATTAAAGGAGCTCTGTGGTAAATAAGGAAAAGATGTTCAGATAAATCACAGTGAGCCCGAGAGCCACAGTAGCTTATACTTTAATCATCCCTATACCAAAGTTCGAAGATTGAGGAAATTGCCACACAGTGCAAGGCCAAGGCAGCTATAGTTTATGAGGTACCAAACTGACTTACTAAGATGTTCTTTGGTGGTTGTGCTAGCCTCCAGCATCTTGGACAACTGGTGTCATGTAAAGAAGTGGACAGTAAAATAATAAGGACTCTTGAGGCTAAAGAACTAGGAAACCATCCTCAAAATGATGCTATTGTGTGAGGTAAAAATCCCATTAAATTCTGAGCAATCTTCTGAATGTATTTGATAATATGTGAAAAATAACCTATGATAAGTTCCACAATCTCAGAAAAGTATACAAAGTTCAATATTATGCTGACTTAAGAACATAGCTAATTGACTCACACAGTATCATATTTTAAAACATAAGTAGTAGTTTGCTAGCAGCAAAAATACTAGATTTTCTCAGTGGTATATGAAGTCACGGAAACCTATGTGACCAGG